GTTTGAAGCTTTTTGGAAGGGAACCCCTTCAGTCCAGGCTGAGTTTAGACTTCCAGCACCATGACAGCTGATCTGATTTATCATGAAGTGGCGCTTTATTGCTGAATGCAGATTTTTTTTTTCATCCACTGTGAACTTTCTCCAAAACATAAGGCCAACTGGAGACACACTTGGATAATCAAACCATTTTTTTTTTATTGCCACGAGAAAATGTGTTCAGCTCCATAAGCTGAAATATATAAGATAAAGTTCAGACGTGTGTGCATATAATTTATGCACTGGAGATTTAATTTCAGCTGCCTGTGGGAAATATATTATATATATGCTATATATAGCATAGGAAAGATTTACACTGCTTTTTCCACAAAAGATTTACAAGCTGCTGCTATCAAATGTGGCTAATATGCAGGAATGTAGCCAGAGTTGAGTTGTGAATCATTAGCCTCCATGTGGCTCTGCTGTCTAATGCATGTATCTCTTAGGGTTGTGATCTCATCAGAGAGAGAATGTGAGATATTTACAAGCATATCTGAAGCCTTAAGCAAGGTTGTAAAAATACACAGGAGTACCAAATGCAAAATGTACTTTGCTGCGAGGTAAGGGCACTGCCAGACTTTGAAAGAACAGATTCGGTGAGTAGACCCATGTTCTATGACGCTTGTGGGGGTATTTTTCTTTTTAATTTGTCAGACATCAATGAAATTGGCAGCTATTCAGAAGACAGCCAGAGATGCCATGCAGGAAAGTAGACATGCAACATGAGGCCTGACATCTTAAAATATGTATTCATGCTTTACCGTTAACAGAAAAGAAAGTAAAGTTCACACCTTTGACACAGAGAGAGCCAAAATAAAGAAGGCATAAAAAAGGCCCAGGCATAGAAAAGACAAGATGTTGGATCTTGTTTTGGATTTGTTTTTTAGGAAAATGCAAAATAAAGATTTGGATTGATGTGCATAGATATATAGAAAGTGTAAATGTGTTTTGACATCCCTCAAAAAAGGGATTGATCGAAGCATTCCCAAAAAGTGTATCCTAAATAACATTGTTTTGGGTGTGTAGCATGTAGCAGGGTTAGAACATCCCCTATCTCCGAAAATACGGTAATGGGTTAATGACACTATTATTGGTTAATATATTTGCTGACAAAAAAAACGAATAATCCCCACAGTGGTTATTCCCATGACGTTATCGGGCTCCTAGCATACCAGAAAAGGAGTCAGATTTTCCACTTGGTTCCAATACGCTTGTTGTAATTTGCTTGCTTGCTTATTTTGGGAAATATGCACTACTAAACCTCAAAATCACCTGAAATGATAAAGGCTTTAAGGCAGGTCCTGCGTTAGTGCGTAATTGTTTTTTCGAGGCGTTGTGCTGTGGAGGACGCCTGACTCCAAATCTAAATGACTTGCTAAAATGCTGCATATTCCTAAATAAATGTCTGTTTAATCACATTTCCACCAACTAATTGACACGGAGCCAAACGGGGGCCATGTAGCGCTGCTGCTCAGGAGGACTTGTTGGGGTGCTCGGGCTGAGGGCGGGATATCATTAAAGTGCCAACTGTAGTGTGCTATGTGCACAGGGGCCGATGGGTACTTACACCATAGGTACATACACAATATGGAGAGTTGGAGGATGTGGGGGACAACAAATTATAAGATTATATTAGTAAACTTAGTTAGTATTAGTATAATAGAATTGTAACACATTTAGTTAAGATTAACTTTGATAAGCTCTCTCGCTATGTCACTTCAATATTTCACTGTTATGTTCCTTTCTCATAGCCCTTTTTATCCTAAATACTTATATTTCTCTTTTTGTCTTCAGTGCACATTTATTGATAATAAAATGCATCAAAAAGTACCCTAAAAATCTAAAATTTGGAAAAATGTTCTAGTCATATTGTACATCTGTGTAAGGTATATATAATAAGAAATATATCTGGTGATATAATAACAAAAATACCATAAAGTAAAGAAGCCTTATTTTTCTATAGCCTTATATACTATGTTTTCTACATAAGGTATACATCCATATATATATATATATCATGTATCTGTCATCAAAGACCACTCTCTGTAGTCAAGCGGTGATTATTTCTTGGTCTTTACGGCAGATGAACAAGTAATGGTTATTCCTTTTTAAATTGATACATTGGGTGGCAGTTATGATGGGTATTATGATTTGAATATACTGATTTCTTCATTGTACTAAGTTCAAAGTCAAATTCTCAGACGTGGTCATGTTTTAGGATGTGTCCCCCCCCGACTCTTCCTCGTATGTTTCAGGTTAATCCTCCTGGTCTCTAACACAGCCAACTGTTACTCAGCTCCTATTGTCATCTCATTTGTACTCAGTGAGCACAATGTTCTGTAGTGCGTTTTCCAACTTGGCTGAAGGCGTCCCCTCATCCTCTTCCTGTGTAGCGCCGCCTTATTGTGGAACTTGCTAATGATCCGAGGGACTTTACTCTGTAACTGGCTGCACTGAGGGACAGATGTTGCTGCAGGCTCTTTAATTTGTCTGAGTCAAATTAGAATACAATGAATTCTATAAACCCTCCAGGGTCGTCATTCAATCAGCGCTGCCTTGTGTTTTCAAAGCAGAAGAATTATGCAAGGAAAAGAAAAAGGGTCAAACTTGATTTATTATTTAATTCTATAAAAAGAAAAAGTCCATGCCAAGTGTTTGGACTCTGGAGGAATCATTAGGTTGGTCTTGTTTGGTAAATAAATACTAAAGGCTTTCTTTATTGTGTAGGGAGGGAGCCAGTTAGACGCACTTTGGACAGTTTGGATACTTTTGTTTTAAAGGCTGACAAAACAAATTAATAAGCAAAAATATTTGTTAGTATTCTGTGTCCTTGTCTTTGTCAGCCTGAATAATAAATGATCAAAGAAAAAATAATTCTTCTGAATAAATGTGTGATGGACTTAGAGTTTAGTTTATGTGACAGGGAGGAAGCAATTTAATATATTTTCAACACGGAGATGAAACTGATTAAATTAGTAGTTTAAAAACTCAAATTTCCATATCACATATTACAATACTAATTTTACGAATACACTGTTGCAATTTACAGTACATTTTTCAATACTAGGTCAATTTAGTGTGAGCTTTTAGCCAGCATTCGTCCATGTTCAGGATGTTTTATCATAAATTAATTTGATTTCAGATGGTAATGTCTTTTAGAGTTGACAACACTTGATTGTAAACATTTTTATCTACAATATGCTATTTTACAGTTTTGTTTTCTTGAAAGAAACTCTGGGGCCAGACTGATGATACATTTCAAAAATAATTTGAGAAAACACTGCATTCAAACCCAACAGTTGACTTTATCCTCAAACATTTATCTCTTGGCGACAGTTCACTAGAAAGCCCGTTCCCCGTAGAGAGCCGTTTGGACCCCACAAAGACAAGCAAATCATCTAAATCTGGAAACAAATTGGTGCGCTGATTAAAGTTTAAAGTTCTGCAGAATCGTTTCCATAACCACTGTCAGGGGCATCGCTCATAACGTGACTCCTTTCATTGTGTCCTTTTTATTATTTAAGGACACGCTGTCTAATTTAAAAAGATTCCAACATATTCATGGAGTGTAACAAAAACATGGCGCGAGCGGCGGTCCAAGTTATCACGGAGGGATCTGCTTATTCTACCAACACATTTCACACCAGGCTGATGCATAATTGTCCTTCTGTTTGGCCAGAATGTGGATATCAGCTAATTGAGACATTAAGGAGACGCCAGCCAAGACGGTGTCCAGAATGGCCGCTTGTTTGGGAGCCTTCTGTCTCTCCTCACCCTTAAAGGCAGTTTGTGTTTGGCAGAGGGTTGGGCGCAGGAACACAGCCATTTAAAACATTTAGTGTCCCCTCCCTCTGTGTCTGGGCACTGCTGCATTTAAAGTCTCTCCAAAAAAACAATAAAGACAGAACACTTTCATACATCTTGGCTGTGCATTAGACTGTACGAGGTCAGGAAGCTTAACCCAGCCAGTCTCATTTGAGCTTTACATTTAAATAAATGCATACCAATGAGCCCGGGTTACTTCTCCTGGAAATAAGAACATAACTTATCTATGACCTTCTCACTTTTAAATTATTGCTAATATTGGGTAATTGCTGAATAAATATAATGTACTCCTACGTCTACAGTATGTGTGTGTGGGGCAATGGAATACTTGCTCTTGTAACATTTGCACTTTTATTTGCTTGGGTCTACTTAAAATTTGACAGATGTTGAAGTTTAAAAATGGTAGTATTGCTACTTTAAGTAAATAAAAGATCTGGCTACTTCGACCTTTGTGCTGAGATAAAGTCTAGGGCATGCACCAATTGATCAAACCAAACAATTAACAGTTAAATAAAGAAGTATGTCAATATAGAATATATATATATATATATACCATGTGACACAAGGGGAGCTCTATACTTTTTATTTTGAAATGAGATTATCAATTGCACACAAGCAGAGGTTTACATGTTACACAGTGTTGATGTATTTTCCTAGTCATATTTGCATTGTACTCACTTAATGTGACAGTTTTAGAATATTTATAAACCTGCTTGAGACTGGATTTCATTTGAATGCAATGCCTTGTACAGACTTGCAATTCAACTGATGCCAAGCTTTTACTCTTTAAACATTCTTTGTTGCATTCCTTCCAATCTATAATCACACAAAAGTTTATGTTGTGTTTAGTTGTTTTCATGTGTTTCCTGCTCGCTTCCCCAGGGGCCATTGTTCCATCAACATCAAATTATAACTTGTAATAGTTTGTTTTATTTTAATCTACTTTGTTTTAGCTATTAGGATGTATCCATGAGGGATTGGTTTACTTGTCACGCACCAGAGATTCAATTGTTTAAATGAGAAGTGTTGGAAAATATCCTCACCTCCACTGCAGAGCCATGAATAGCTATTCTAGGGTTTTTACACACACCATTTTCGGGGTTTAAATGTATTTATCTTTCATGTTCTCTGTCCCACAGTGTGGACCTGGTGCACGCCCAGCTGCATGTGTGTGAGGGCCGCAGCCTGCCTGAGCTGTCCCTCAATCAAGACAAGATCAGAGTGAACGGCTGCGCCATCCAGTGCAGAGTGACCACCGAGGACCCGTCCAGAGGCTTCCAGCCCGACACCGGCAGGATCGAGGTAGGGGTCACCTTGGAATGACTTTCAGGTTATGTGTTGCTGCGGTCAGGGAGACCACATGTCGACAGAGGAGCAATTACTCCTCTGTGAGATGTCATTTCTGGAGTCTGGAGAAAATCTGTCGACATTTTCTGGTAAAAATATGTAAGGGATAAAAGGGATTGTTCTTCCCCATGGGGGGCAACATAAGGACCATGCATAAGAATACATCAGTCGCAAAAAGAGAATAGATGATTTAATGCCAGATATAGTTGGCTATTAGCTAGCAGTCTCCGGCCAGATACAAACATAACAATCGGCCAATACTTAAACATTATTTATTATAAAAAAGACACAAGTACAACTATAATACTATTCATTTCATCCAAAAACTCAGATTACTGTCAAGTTAATGTTGAACAGTTACATTTGTTTTGCACCTTGGGACAAAGTGTGAAAGTCTGTGGCTTGAAGCATGTTCCAAGGCTTGATGGCCCTAAATGAAAAGGCAAAGTGTGCGGCGGCAGTGCGCCTCAGTGGGATCTTCAAGTCTGTGTTTACAGCAGATCTTGAGGTTCTGCCCAAATTCTCACAGTGGAGCTGAAAAAAGCTGCTCAATAGTGGAAAAGCAGCATTTTATCTTGAATACTAATACAGAATGAGATTTTTAATCTTGATGTTTTTTTTTATTGCGGTGTCCAGCCAAACAAAGACAGAAAGCATGGCTTTTGCCAGTACTTGCAACTTTAGCAATGACAGCAGTTTGTATTTCACTCAGATGGTGCATTAAACACTTCGAGGCTGGGTTAACACTGATTGGTAAAACGCCAGATCCCAACTGGGCTCCTGATTAATTATACAATATAGTACTTTCTGCTTTTAACTAAGCGAAAATGTAGGCAGTTTCAGAAGAGACCATATGTTATATAGTGTATACTTAGCCTATAAAGCAGCATGGCATCACATTAAAGTATTCTTCCCCAGCCTGGTCTCTGCAGCATACATCTGCAGGTGTATCAACACACACTAGGGATGTGCATCTCCATCACCGAGGCCGATGCGATGTGCATCTCGATACGTTGCCAACGATACGTTACATTAACGATACATTTGAAGCACCAGGCGATACGATATGATACGATTCACCCCTGTTGCGATACAGTTCGATACAACATTATGCGATTCGGGGCGATACGATGCGATTCAACACGATGCAAAAATAATGATACAATTCAATATTGTACGACAGAGGATTTTGTTTTATTCCTTATATGCAGCAAATCATAAATCAACAAAAAAGTGCTTTACATATTTGCTTCTCTCTACTAGTACCCGCATCCCATTATGCTGTTTCTTTTTTACCTTAAAAAAACAAACACTTGGTCCTTTCACAAACAGGCCTTTTCATAACTGCTTACAATTCTAAGGAAGACATTTAAACTATTATTGGCAGTCAGTCTGCTGTATACTAAACACCACTCTCACTGACAGAACACCTCACTGAGTGATTTAACTCATGTCTTACTTTCAGGTTTTTATTTTCAGACGCAGACCCCACGTCGTACTAGCTTACTTGTGTACTTTAAAGTGGCACGGCATCGTTTACAATTTGAGAGCGATTTTTCAAGTTGTCCGTCTTTCTTGAAAAATCCGAAGTGTTGCCAAACGTTTGATTTGTAGATATTTTTCAGTGCGCTGTGTTTCGCTTTCTCCTCGACTTCCATGTTTGTTGATAACTGAGACTCTCGGCCTCCGTAGTGGCGAAGCGAAGAGCAAAGATCGTCTCTGCTGAGTGCTGACAGGATGAGGGGATATTATATGAATGAATCGTTTTTTTACCAATGCAAAGACGCTACAATCGATGCATCGTGAGTTCAACCCAAACTGTAGCCGATGTGCACTCTTTCAACTGGTGCACTCGCATTTTGAACGTGTATGCCGGTGCACCGATGCGAATCGGTGAATCTTCACTGCGCTAATGAGAGCGACAAACTGAACAATGAAGAGCTGAGAGTGGATTCTCCTTTATAGCACACTCAGTGTTTTCATTCACACAGTCTATACCAGAAATATCAGCTAATATAGCTTTGTGCTAATAAGAGAAAACATGTCCTCCTGAAATAAGTGTGTGTGCACATGTGTTCAGTTACAGCTGCAGGGATCAACCAGCACTTGAATAATGGGTCTGTCACATTGATCCATATATTAACTTTCAGCCCTGCAATTATAAACTTGCATTGCCATGTGAGGCCTGTGAGTGGGAGGCTGTGATTTCCCCTTATTTCTGTATGGCTGACTGTGTGTATCTTTATCTCTGTGAGAGGGATGTATACCGTGCCTTTAGTGTCCATGTGCATTTGCATGAGAGGACAGGTGATTTTCTTTGACTGTCCACATATGTGATGACGTATTTGACTCTTTAGGAGTGCTCTGTGTATCCTTCCACATGGCACACATCCTGTGAATCACGCCATTTCTCTTTGTGTCCCTATAAATCTTTCTCTCGCTGATGAGGTGTGACCCTCTATGCTTTTTGCTGTCATGCCTTTGCCCTTCACCCTGGACTGTACACCCACCTCCTCTTCTTCCACCCCATCCCTTTCTTTAATGTGTTTCTTTCTGCTGATTCTTTATTAGCTTGTTTTAAAGCCTTAACAGTGTTTCCAAGTGCTTTACGAATAATTAAATGGCAATGAAAGCCAGTTTGAATCAATACAAATGGCACATTAGTTAAAACAAGGTTTAATGGGAACAAAACAGCCATTTTATCAGAATGAAAACAAATCACGCCATGTATTAAAGTTAATGTTAAGAGATAATGGTGATTCTGACCCCAGCCGAGGATAGTGCTTAAAAAGCCTTCTGGCTATGTCTGGCCTCTGTTTGTACCCTAGTCTACTCTCTGTTTTAGGACAACAGTTCATTTAACTCTTATAAAGAGACAGTTCACCCTAAAAACAAAAACGTACATGTTCTTCTTTCGTATAGTGCTATTATCAATCTAAAATGTTGTGATGTTGCAAGTGTTGTCAGCACTTTAATGTAGGAACTATTTTCTCTCCACTCATGATTTCTGGAAAGAGACATCGCTCTTGAGATTTTTCCAAATGTATTTTTTTGTTTGTTTGAGCACCATGAACTGAGTGCCATCTAGTTCCATTAAATTGGAGAGAAGGCAGACATGTCTACGACCTACACTCAGCCCCTCACACCACAACAACATGGATTGGAAAAAAAGCACTGCAGGTAGAGGAAAAATTGTTTTTTATTTGGGTGAACTCAACAGAGCAGATAAGCAAAAAACAGCTAACATGGTGTGTTTTCCCCTCAGTTTTCTTGGCTGTGGTGTCAGAAACATTGATTTACAGCTGAGCAGTGAGGGGAAGCTGATCAATGATATTATCTGCATGTCATATTTACTGCCATTGGGGAACTATGCATTTCGCAGAGACCCTCTGGTTTCTTACTGTTTCTCCCCTTCTTTCCACTTGTCATGGATGCCGTGAATAAAATACTGCCACTGCTGCATGGTGGCTTTACACACTGGCTTTTGACTCCTTGGATGTGATTGAATTCGCCCCGCACCGCTGGCTTTCCAATCAAACAAATCATCGTCTGTAGGTTCTGAGGGGCAGAGTTAATGCTTATGTTGTGCACACAGATTTATTTCAATTGCATTTAAATCCATTAATTAACCCCCCATGGGGTGTTAGTAGTAGTTCATTAACAGTTTATGGCTCAATGGTCAGACCAAACTGTTTATTTTAAGCCTGATAAATCACCACATTCATGTGAGACATTTCTTTGTCAATTTAGCTTCTTGAGCTATATTCAAATCAGTAGCATACATTTCAGATGCAGGTCTGTAAAACATTTCGTGAACACCCCCATTATTTGGATTTCTCACTTTCAGGTATAGCATTACTGCTCACTGTGAAAATAGCTGCTTGCACTACATTTCACCTCAGAGCGGAGTCACTGTGGAGTAGCTTGTGACCTTTCCACTTCAAGGACTTCCTTTCCCATATGTTCTTCTCCTCCAACATCACTCGATGCTTCCCTCCCACTTATACCACTCATCTCGACATAATGTACATTTTCCCTCCCACATCTTTATCCTCCCTGCTTCTAGCACTGCGTCTCCCCTTCTTCACTTATCTCCATCTCTCTGTCTGCCCCCTTCCTCCCTCTGTTTCTCTGCCCTCCTACACCGTTTGTCCCCCCAGTTGAGCTATGAAAAGGGACAACCCTGACCCCTTTTACCATTACCACGCAATATACATGAACCAAACACCATCAACACAGGAAAAGTGTAGATGGAAGAATGCCATGTTGGAGGGACACATGAATACATTATTATCCAAAGGACTGTGACAAGGTCAGCAGCTGAGTGACAGTGAAGGGTGGATGACAGCCGGGGAGCGGTCGTCACGCTATGGGCTCGTGGTCCCTTGAGTTGCAACTTAGATCATTTACATTGATTGGTGGAGAGTCCATTCTGTTGTCTTTGCCGAGCTCAGGATGATGTCGTTGTATGGCGGCTGTTGTTGCTACCATAAAGCTTTTAACTCCAACTTAAGTGGCCCGGTTGAAAATGCTGTCACTTGCACCACTTTGTGAAAAAGCTGCTGCGTGTCAACGAGAGAGGGCAGGAGCCATACACCAAAGAGAAAAAGGTTTCCATAATCAGCTCTCCTGTTCACAGCACTAGAGAATAAAATGCTTTTCCAAAAGAAAAAAGACAGTAGGAGAGTTGGGAAATGGGGTGCAGATTACAGATAGGGGAGAAAGGAACCAAGACGAGGAGGAACACGTTTTTATTAGGATGTAGAGACAAAAGACTGATGCGTTTGTGAGCAAAACTGAAGCAAAGATCCAACCTGCTGCAGCAGTAATGGGTTCATCCTTTTTTCCGTCTTTTGATACCGAGAAATAATAGACCTTTTTATCTTGTTCTATTATCATCTTCTAATGGAGCTTTCAGAGCCGGTGGAAGAAGTAGGCGAGCAGAGAGACAGGAG